TACCTAGCTCTGCCTTAGTCGGGTTGACCGACTCTTCTCAAGTTGATATGCTTGGTTGGTGGGTACACATCCATCCACTTTTGCGCGAACAAGAGCATTTGGTCTCGCCGAATTGGTGAGACCAAATCAGACTGGGACAGCCACTCAAGGCCATCCATGAACTCAGAACAAATGTCGATCGTAGGCGTGTTACGAGGAGTCGGTCGCGTGTCCGATCGAAAAGCGGTCGGACGTGACCAACCCAATGAAAATTACTACACAATGAATAAATCGTAAAAACTGGACTCTTAAATTGGGTGTTCGATCAGCCTTGTGCGGAGAACTAGGATGCTCAACCAGCCCGAGGAGGCCTCGATCTGTTTCCACATGAGATTTTGTGATACAGTCAACATTCAGAACTCAGGGGAACGGCCCTCCACTTAGCAGCCACCGCCAGCCCACCGGGCGCTTCACGGATACAGTCCATCTAAACCATTTGTACTGCAATCTTATCCATCGCCCTAGAACCTTTCCACATGAGATTATGTCCACGCCAGATTGATCGAGGGAAACCGACGCCTTATCCACGTAAGATCTGACGTGGCTGACTTAAGAATTCAAGGAGTTTCCCTTGAAAGATGTCAAAAGTGGATCTCTCGATCATCCTGGCGCGGGTGGTACAGTCTCATCCGGGAACATGTTTACTTGAAAAGAAAACGGACTATCAAACCGGATTCCGCCCTAATTAAATTTACTTAGAGCCCTAAATAATCTTCTTCCAACTCCTATGAACACATAGGGGTCCATTTTCTTTTGAATTAGACATGTCCCCGGATTAAGTCAAAATTCATAACTCAGGGGAACGGCTCTCAGGCCACACATCCGCGAGCACGTACGGAGGGTTCAGGGTTTAGGGCTTAGGGTTGAGGGTTCAGGACTTCGGGTTTAGGGTTGAGGGTATAGGGTTTAGGGTTTAGGGTTTAGTGTTTAGTGTTTAGTGTCTAGGGAGTAGGGAGTAGGGAGTAGGGAGTAGGGAGTAGGGAGTAGGGAGTAGAACGTGGGGTGTAGGGTTTAGGGTTTAGGGCACAACGCATACCTCAGGGGGACGGCCCTTCGGGCCGTAGAAGTGCGACTGGGGGCGGCTCATCTCTTTCAGCCATCGCTCTTCCGCGTCCAACTCCTCCTGCCCGCCTGTATCCATATAGATATATATGTATTAATATATATATATTTATATGTATATACATAGATAGATAGATAGATAGATAGATATAGATAGATAGATAGATAGATAGATAGATAGATAGATAGATATAGATATAGATAATAGATTTAGATATAGATAGATATATGAATATATGAATGCATAGAAGGCCGGCCGGCATGCAAGCGAGCTCTTCCGAAGGTCTAGCTCTGCCCCGGTTAATCTGGGGCCCTCTCTCAATACAGTCAGATGAGGGACCACCAGCCATCCCAAGTGGCTCAAATAGTGCCCTGGAAGGTCTTCGATTTTACCTTGGATCGGGGTCGGATCCAACCCCGATCCAAGGTTAAAAAAAATGCCTCAGAGCACTTTTTGGGCCACCTCCAAGGGCTAGTGGTACAAGTGGGGCTGCGGGCGGCTCATCTCCTTGAGCCATCGATTCTCGGCGTCTAATTCCTCCTGCCCGCCTGTGCAGGCACGCGTGAGTTTCATCTCGAAAGATAACTGAATCAGTTCCCAAATTAGCGTTTTCTTTCAATTAGGAGGCCTAATTAAATTTACTATGCCCTAACTAATTTCTCCTATTGAACCTCCTATTGAAAAGGAACTGATACAGATATTTTGCGAGATGAAGTTCCACCGCTGTTGACGGACCGCGCAGGGTTTGTACCAGCGTGGTAACTAACTAACTAACTAACTAACTGACTAACTGACTGACTGACTAACCCCGGCAGGATTGACTGAACCGGGTCGGTTTTGTATCACTGTGGTAACTAACTAACTAACTAACTGACTGACTGACTGACTGACTGACTGACTGACTGACTGACTGACTGACTGACTAAGTAACTAACTAACTTACTTACTAAGTAAGTAAGTAGGTAAGTAACAAACTGACTAACTAACTAACAAACTAACTAACTAACTAACTAACTAACTAACTAACTCACTAACTAACTAACTGACTGACTCACGCAGAAGTGCAAATGGGGGTTGAGGGTTTAGGAAAAGACCTTTCCAGCCCCAGCTGCGCATCTCGTGCATCGCGAAATCTCTCTCTCTCTCTCTCGCTGGCTCTCTCTCTCTCTCTGGCTCTCTCTCTCTCTCTCTCTCTCTCTCTCTCTCTCTCTCTGGCTCTCTCTCTCCCTCCCTCCCTCCCTCCACAGCAGGCTGCGAAAGGATTTTGTGAATACCCCATAAGGGAGTAATCCATAGAGCCCTACTATAGGCAATACCGTAGGAACTTAGGCTGGTCCTACGGACATCCCAACCGATTTCACATGAAAACGGTTTCAATTTAAAACTTCTCGGAAATGAAATTTACTACACAGCATGATCTTTATTAGTAATATTAAAGCATCCGTGTAGTAATTTTCATTGATTCCTCAGGTTTTAAATTAAAACCGTTTTGATATGAGATTCTTGGGCAGAATCCGACCAAGCATCCCTTCGTAGCCCGCTGGGTGGCTCTCTCCACTCGATCAGGGGAGAAACAAGGGTCTTTCCGGCCCCAGATCCGCGTCTGCAGCCTCTCTCTCTCCCCAGGCTTCACCATATCCCAGCTCTGCCTCACTCGGGTTCACGGCCAGACTATTTTGAAGTTGACGTGCTGGGTGTGCGGTGCAAGTCCGTCAACTTTGCAGCGGGAAAGAGCCCGGGCTCACCAAATTTGTCTTCCCGAATCAGACTGCGAGAGAGCTAGTCTCTCTCTCTCTCTCTCTCTCTCTCTCTCTCTCTCAACACTGAAGCGGGGGGGGACAGGCACCTTTCCAGCCCCAGCTTCGCATCTGCTGCATCGCAAAATCCCCAGGCTTCAACTCATCCAGCGCCGCAGGCAGCCCCTCGTACTCGTCCAACCAGCTCTCCCCTTCCGGCCCCGGCTTCCCCCCGCCTGCTCCTCCGCTCTCCTCCTCCTCAGATCCCCCCGCCCCTGCCGCGGCGGCGGCGGCGGCGGCGGCATCCGCGTCAGCGTCAGCCGCCCCTTGCTTACCAGCTGTAAGATCCCCAGCCACGCGCTGCAGCAGAGCCTTGCGTCGCTCCAGCAACGACCGCCCCCCCTCCTCCTCCGCCCCCCCTCGCAACCGCAGCCCCCGCAGCCCGCCCCTAGCGGCACAGCACACCCGACACCCATCAGAGGGCAGGGGACTGCGGCCCGGAGCGTCGGCGCCGCATCCAATCGCGACGACCGCCGCAACCAGCATCCCGCAGAGCCGCGGGCTGCGGGCGCCGGCGAGCAAGGAGCCCTCACTTGGGGGAGACGATCCCCCTGCGAACTGCCCGCCGGTGCGTCTACCCCAGGCATCGCACGGTGCTGCTGCGACATGAACGAAAGTGCGGCTGCCCATGCGGGTGGCGAGGCGCTTGGGGCCTCCTCTGATCTCGTTTGGAGAAGAGAGGGAGTCCCTCTTGGATTCCAACCCCTTGGACCCAGCCAGGGATCCGAAGTTCTGGCTGGCCGATCTGTGAGCAGCGCCCCTCCCAGTCAATCAGGCAGCTTGAGCAAGCCTGTACGCGGCGCGGAGTCCCACTCAGACTCTGGAAATTGAGTCAAACCAGGAGGAGGAGGGCCAGAAGATCCAGCCGCCGCCACCCGGATACTGTCTGTCCTCTCAATGGGAAACTGTTTTTTTGAGAAATCACCTCCAAGGTTCTCGGCCTTTTGGCTCAAGATCAAGATCGAGCGAGATCTCAAAAAAGTAAACTAAAATCCTTTCAAAACGCACCGTTTCGAGAAATCTGGTTCCATGAAATCGGATTTAAAACCCTGACGGGACTTGTAAAACCGGCAACCCGGCAAACCGGGAACCCGAAAAGCGGCCAACATTTACCAGGCGCGTCCAGTTTGTACCTGGAATCTGGACGCGACTGGCAGCTTCACGTGCATCTCTGAGACAATAAGACAGGCAGAATCGGCCTCTTTGATATGTCAGCGAAGAAAGGCGCCTAACAAAGATCTGTTAGTATAGTGGTAAGTATAGCCGCCTGTCACGCGGCAGACCTGGGTTCAATTCCCAGACGGATCGTGCGAAAGCACCACCTCGCATCCGAGGTTACCTTCTCTTTTTGCCTGTTGGGCATCATCTTTTGAATGGTCAAAGTTTGTGCCTTTTGGGGGGAGGGGCAAAAGTTTTTTGACTCATGAATGATTGCGTTTTCGAGGTGTTCCTGTCCCATGGGGAGGGACATTTGGCCCTGATTTGGGGGGTGTTTCAGGACCATTTTGACACCCCCCCCCAAAATCGCAACGGCAAAAATCAACCCTGGAACTGGATTTGAAGTTGAATTTTTCAAAATTGCCTGGTACAGTATGGGTGTGGGTTGGCAGCTCACCATGAAAAGGCAGGACTCTCATGTTTCCATGGGAAAGTTGGTCAATCCGTCCGCCTGACACGCGGGAGATCCCCAGTTCGAGCCTGGGTGGAAACACGACATGTTGTTTTTTTGCTCGAGAAAACTATTTTTGTAAAGCGACTTGCTCTTTTTGCTGGACCGCTTCGCGAGCGGAGAGGGAACAACTCCCCAGTTTTAAATATTTTCACCCAAATTCGGCGCCAGGTTATGGCCTTCGACTTTTAAAATGTGCCGAGTTCCATCGAGTTCGAGCCGAGGGGGGTGGGGGGTGACATCGTTTATTGTAAAGCAAAAATGTTCAGACCGCACGTGCACGGACCATATTGAAGTGGCTTTTGGTCAAGCAATGTCACTCAGCCCGGAAGGTGAGTAGCTCTCATGGCGAAGTTGGCATCGCGTCGCTCTGATAAGGCGAAGGTCTTCGGTTCGAGCCCGAATGAGAGCAGCTGTTCTTGGCTGAGGGTTTGGGTCAGTAGCTCACTTGGTAGAGCGGTCGCTTCGCATGCGACAGGCACCGGGATCGATACCCGGCTTCTCCACATCTTTTTGCAGGTTGCGAGGCCTGTACAATATTTTAAATCCGTAGAAACGACCCTCTGCCCCTACGGATGGCCTACCGTAGGGTCCTTATGATTATCCTATTTAGCCCGGATATTGTCGTTTCTTTTTTAATATAAAAAAACACGATTTCTGAAAATCAAATTGTGAGGAAAAATTGGTGTGTCCACATGTGCGTCACCAATCATGTAGGTACACTGGGCAATAAGTGGCAGCTGTGTGTGGATAGGCAGAGGCTCTCGCGCAACGGGGTGCTCTGCGGGAAACATGAGGGGCGTTGGCTTCCCTGGAGGTCTGCCTCTGATGGATCCCCCAATATGGGTAGTGGCAGTTTCTTGAGTAGGACAACGCTGGAGCAGTCCCCATA